AATTATAATTATAATTTGGATGAGAATAACCTTAATCGTGTTATGAAGGAAAAGGATCTTGGTGTAATAGTTGATCAGTCTCTAAAGCCATTCCAGCAGTATGCTGTTGCTAGTGGTAGGGCAATAGGATTTTAGGTTGTATCTATAGAAATATTGAATAAAAGTCTAAAGAGGTTATACTTTCATTGTACAGGTCACTGGTTAGGACACATTTGGAATATTGTGTAAGGTCTTTGGCTCCTACCTTAGGAATTGTTGGAAAGAGTTCAGCTAATGGTGCTTGGGATGGAGGGATTGTCATATGAGGAGAGGCTGAAATCTGTCAAATAGTTTTCTCTTAGAAAAAAGAAAAGTTAGTGGGATCTGACTGAGGTATTTAAGATTGTAAAGGGAATTGATAGTGTTGATGCAACATCTTTATTTATGTTTAACAATGATAATGATAGGGCTAGGGGCCACAAATATAAATTTTGGCAAGGTAGGAGTCATCTTCAGCTAAGACAGTTTCATTTTTCTAACAGGGTGGTTGGCCTTTGGAATGGGTTACCTTCAGATGTTGTAGAGGCAGTAAATTTATATGAGTTTAAGAAAATGCTTCATAAGTATATGAATGAAAATGTCTGGCTTTAAGATTTTTTATTTATTTATTTTTTAATCATTTTAATTTAGTTTAGAGGATGGAACAGCCAAGATGGACCAATAAGTCCCATGTTGTCCCAAAACGTTTTGTTATTTGTGGAGTCTATCCTCAAACCTGTTGTCTATTGAAATTTATCTTACTGCCCTCAATTACCTTCATGTGTAGTTAATTTGTGAATTTCCCATTGTAGATTACCCTTTTCTTCCATCTCCTCTAGATCTGTATCTTTTCACTGATGTATGTTTAGTGCTAGATGATGTTTTGGGGGACTATTATCTTTAGGGTTTATAGTTTTCTCAGTTATCCCAGTATCACATTATTTTGTTAAAGATTCGGGCTGTTGCACTTGAATGGCAGGATCTATTGTCCTTGTTACACCACTGCTGTGTTTTTGTTCCCAGATTGAGATGTATATAAACAGGCAGGTAGGATGAGACTTGATCTCACAATTTTTTGTCCTTGTTTGGGGTTTCTCTACTTTTTCGTATGCATTTACGTCTTTATCTGAGCTGGTACTTTGGATGTGCCAATGGCTAAGTCATCTTCAGATCAGTGCATTAATCTTCTGATGCTTTACTGATTTCTAGTTCAGGTTCCAGCTTTTGTACTAGTGAGTGCTTTCATTCCATCTTTGGGGAATTTTTTTCTGTATGTAAAACCTCTTATTCATCTTCATTCTTGGGTATTGTTCAGCCAGTTGTCCCATTGTCTAGTTTTTTATTGCCCAGTGCTGGCCTATTCTGCCATGGTTTTCACTTCTTTTGCCTATATCAAAAGGATTCTATTCCATTATATCTTTTCGGTACATCTTTCACAATGACATTTGTTGTATACAGCTTGATTGGCTGTTATATAGTCTTTTGTTAATGAAGCTGGCTTCTCTTCTTTGGTAACTCAAATGTTATCTTACTCTCACAGATGTTCCTCCTTGGCAGAATACCATTCTTGTTGGTCTGTCTTTCAGTTAGTGCCTGTAAAATTTGGTTTCTTGTCTTTTTTTTTCCAGGAAGACTGTTTTTGTATCTCATTAAAGCCTTTTTACCAAAGAACTGGGCTGCGAGAGATGGTCACAGCTATTTTTATGTGCTGTTGTGTTACCCAATTTGACTGTCAGCATTAGTTGTTGTACCTTACAGTGGTTTCACATTGCTTCATCCACGTTAACAAATTTGTTTATGTAACTGATCTGTCTTATTTATCATGATGTTCGTAACCATCTTAAGGATACATCTCATCATATTTGCCATTTGGTGATGTCTTTGGCCTTTATAACTTTTAGTGGATATTTTCCAGACTGGCATGGCGATGGATCTATGTATTTGTTGCTATTTTATCTTCATTACATTTCTGTATTTTCAGGATTCCCTTTGCTGTCAGTGGTTATTCTTCAGACTTGGTGGAATCCATCATTTGTAGTTTCTATATATTCTATATCAACACCCATAATTAACCATTTCCAGAGTGTCTGGAACTATTAATAATTTTGACTTCAAAACAAACAGTTTAAAACAAGAAAGATACAATAATTAAATACAGAGCCTTCTCATGTATGTATGTATATCAATTCATCCAGTCAGACTCTTGCATGTTTTTTAATCTCTGTTTGCTCTAGGCAACTCAATTTTTTATATATTGCTCAGAGCCCCTGTTCATAAATATAAGAGTGTCTGAGGTTGAGAAATTATTTAGTTATATATATCACCTCCCCCAAAAAACAACAACAAACAACAATTAAAAAACTTGGTATCGTTTTCTGTGTAATGCAGTGTCTGGACTCATCTAGTTAGGACTCTCACATATCACTTATACCTAGACAAAATCCCAATTTCTATGCTGGAGTTCTATGAGAGGCTGTTGTCCTAAATATTCTCTTTTGAGATAATTAAATAGTATTTTGGTTAATTAACATTTATTTTATTAGCTTATTATGATTCAGTGCATACCAGTACCCATATTTATTATATTGATTTTTATCATATATGGGGAAGATGCAGAAAAAAATTTAGTTTATAATATCTAACAAGAATTTAGTGTTTTATTATTCATTGACATATTTGATGATTAACTTATAATTCTTTCAGCAAGGAATGATTTGCAAAGTTTTGGAGCTTTAGCACCAAATCAACAACAGCATGGACAGTCCCAGGAAAATCAGCTAAGGACAGCTACACCAGGTTCAGCCACCCAGGGACCTCAGACTTTCATTACAACTGATGGTTCTCAATTAAATATTGCGGGCAATAATGTATTGTCAAGTGGGATAGTATCCCCTACTAGTACACTTTCAGGAGATATAGTCAGTCAAATATCAACTGTTGTACAAGCTGCTATGCCACATCCTTCTTCTGGACCAAAAAATTGGCACCAATCTGTAACTCCAAATTTAAGACATCATTTGGTCCAGAAAATGTAAGTATGAAAGAAAACTACAATCAGTTTTATGTGTAATTGGTTTTCAACATCATAATATGTTTGTATTTCATACTATATATATTTTCTTGCTGGTGATGTGTGAAGTTACTTCAGGTATAAAACTCACATCTAATATCTAAATTTTGGCTAAGTTAGAGCCCTTTGCAAAGTATTTAGTACAAAAATTAAATAAAAATTTTAAATTTCCCATAAATATTTATTATTTACATATTTCACATACATATTAGAACTTTTCAGACATGATAATTTGGACTCTATTTATAGTTGAGTAATAATATAAATAGGAAACTACTTTTGGTGGAGGAAGATATTTTTAAACAGTAATTTTGTATTATTGACATCCCATCAAATTCTTTTTTGACAACAAATATGTAAAATAATAATTATAAAAGTTGACACCAGTTCCTAATCACTGTTTGTTTTTGTAAAATAGTTTATACAGTATTGGTTACTGTAGTATTGCATAAAATAGATACATGGTAAAATAGGATATGCTGGCTGTATGTAAACATTTTAAAATATCTACTGTTACATGAAAAAACATGACTGTGGGCAAGAACATTAATTGCAAACATTTTGTTGGATGTTATCCATCTGACAGTAACACTATTAATATATAATTTGGTTGGTACAAGGAATAATAAGGTTTATTGTTGCCCTTGTGCATTTGTAAGCAAATATAGAGTTCTTTTAGGTGCCTTCTGTAATAATCCATAATGTGCAGTTATTTTACCATAATTCTTAATTACATATTTCAAGAGGAATGGGAATTTTGTTTTTTCTAAATTTTGTCTCAGTTTCAATCAGCAATGCTTAAAGACTACAAATAATTTTCTTATAACAATTAAGTACCATATTGTTCTTTACTGCGAGCTTTCAGCTATCTTAACTGTTTCCAGATGCAACTGAGTAGGTCAAATTATCTTTGCTATTTATCTATGACAATAAAAATATTTTGAGCCCAGTTTATTTACATAATGTATACAGCATTGTGTAATAATTAACAATCATTTATGTCATAATGTCTTTTTTTTTCTGTCATTTAGAATGTCATAGTATCTTGTAGTGCAACACAAATCTTTCATTACGTTTTCTTACTTAGCATCTTCTATACAGTTGCTTTTATTGAAAAAATTGAAAAACATGAATAATAATTTTAGATTATATGTGTTTTTTGTGGAGTAGAATATGCCACATTTTTTAACTCTCTACACGGGCTTGGTCAATTTGACCGACCACATGATTTCTTTGTACTCATTTAAAGTCTTTATAGATTTAATACTTCTAACTTTCAATATAGTGTGTATATCTTCACAAAATTTGACAGTCTTTCAGTTAATATTATTAGTCTTTCACATACAAAAAAATCATATTTTTAGTGAAGTATTTTTAATAAAATAAAGATTTGTCCATTAATATATTGAATATTTGTTTTGAATTGTTTGTGTGCAAAGTAATTTTCATGTTAAAATTAAGAATACTTTTCCTCATCTCAGTAAAACTTTATAGTTTATCTGTTATTTTCTCTACTCTATCTCAAAACGGAATTGGTCAATTCGACCGACTTCGTAACCACCATAAAAAAAAATCAAAATAAATTTAAATTACCCTCTTTTTCTTTATAGAGTGACTTCAAATTATAACATGAAGCTACATTCATTTATCCTAAGTAGCTCTAAGTTCGTAACAGTATACATCTATTTATAATTAACTTTTATTGTTTTATTGCCCTTTGAACCATGTCTAACTACTATTTGTGCCTTTATAAGTTGTAAATCACTTGGGGAACATGCAGCTCACGTTATGCTAATGAATTACATTACCCATGAGCTGTTCACATGTGTTCCTTATGAAACATTTTTATTATAATATTATTTGAAGATAGCTTTGATATATGGAAACATCTGTTAGCTGAGTTCTTGCACAGATCTAAAAATATGTTTATAAATGGAACCATCACCTCAATTACATGTGCAGATCTTGAAAGTTAAGTTGTTCAAAACTTGAAAATAGAGTTGATAACTGGACCAATTGTTGGTTGAGATGCTGCAAAAAAAATATCTGCTGAAGCTTTCTGCCAAACACTAATCATAGCAGAACCATGTGGAAAATGGTTTATAGGAAATAGTACAGCTTATAAAATATTTTAAAAAATCTCCCCTTGTGTGTGAATTGTAGCATTTGCTCTCTAGGTATTCCCTCTTCTATAATTTATTTACCACCCCTTCGAGAAGTATGAAATTTAATGTAAATTGCTAATTATTATGTTGTCATCACTCAAGCAAAACATATTTTTTATAGCATTCAATCTTATTTGATTACAGAGCCATAAGCTAGAAAATCAGACCCCTCTTGCCAGTCCACCTGTCACATCTTCTCTTTCAGAAATTGCCAATAGTTCTCTCTGAGGTTTAATACTATATTATTTATAACCAATAGAGAGCTGAAGTTTTAATATATCAAATACCATATTATATTACATTGTTTTCTGTACAGAGAGAGAATTGTCTATTTTGCTTCCAGTTCAAACTTTATTCCCACAGGAAACACAATGATGGGCTTAGCTGAATTTTTAATGGGTTTTGTTGCATAGTTAGAAAGTCCACAATTTTGTAATAGTTATAGGACATTTTCTGCTTTTCGCATGTTATTAATCTATGTTCCTTGGTGCATTATTTAATCAAATAAATTATTTAGTGCATTAGTACCATTGGTTTAAAAAAAGGGCTAAGTTTCATAAACAGTCAAAAGCAAAAAACAAAGACTCAAGGAAATAATATATTTCTTGTTTTTCATGTGTATTCTTTATTATTATAAGAGTAACTAAAATGCAAAAATTAAAAGCATTTTAGATTAGATAAAATAAATAATAATAAGTGTTTCACAGTGGTTGCTAGTAACTTGCAAGTAAGCCCGTGTGTTATGTAATTTGATAGGGTAACATAAGCTACATATTTGCCAAACAATTTACAACTTGTGTGGCAGGAATATTAGTTAGATATGGTTCAAAGGGCAGTAAAAAAATAAAAGTTAAGTAAAAACAGATGTATACTGTTATGAGTTTAAAGCTATTTAGGATAAATAAATGTAGTTTCATCACACAAGATGAAGTGATTCTAGAAAGCAAGAAAGGGTAATTTAAATTTACTTTGATTTTCATTTTCTTTTTTTATGGTTATGAGGTCAGTTAAATTGATCAACCTCATATAGAGTTAGGGTAGAGAAAATAACAGATAAAACATACATTTTTACTGAATAAAATGTTTGAAATGGATTTAGGTTAGGAGGGTTTAGAGACTATGCAAATGAAATTTGAGATTTTTCAGTTGAAGAAAAGTAGTTTTAATCTTAATATGAAAATCATTTGCACTCATAGCAGGCAACACTTGACTCCATTTATTTACTGGAAAATTTTTAGTGAATGTACTTCATTAAGAATTCTGACTTTTTGTCTACAAATGACTTAATGCTTACTGAAAGATACACAAAACATATTAGAAGTTTTAGTATGGAAACCAAAGGTCACCTTTGGGTTAATGTTCAAGTCGAATCAACCAAACCCATCATGAGAGAATTAATTGGACGTAATTTGCTTCATTCTCAACCTATTTCACTCCTTTTGCCTATTTGTATATGTATGAAACATACTTAATCCAATGAGTTGTTGGATAGCAAGACTGATATGAACAACCATTCAATTTTTGTTGGGGGTTTTAAGAGTAAGACTGGTCCATGTTTGTCAGTCATCAACAATGGAAAGACACAATGATGTTTAAGATGTAAAATTATCCAGAAAAGATTTTTTCAGAATAATCAAGTTTATTAAAGAGAAGTGCTTACTAGCCGTGCTGTACATTATTCCATAAAGGAAATAAGTTGTATATATATATTTTTTTTTTGTTATAAAGATGCTAGATCTCACATTAAAATTTCACCATCTTTGAAGGGTCCTGTTATTCTCCCTTAGAACTAATGTTAAATTATACTAGCTATAACTGTAGGCATCTAATCTCTTTATTAATAATATAGCGAGGATATTTTGGCATTAAAAACTGTGAAGTGGAATTGACAAACTTCAATAAAATGTTAAACATTAAAAAATTATCAGGTCTGTGACCTGTGCAAACCTATAAACTAATGTGTGTAAACTTATAGTTGCTTATATATATACATGCATGTTTCATGTGCATGTGCAATCAGAAAACTTGTTGTTTGCGGTAGATAAGCAATTTTATAGTAATAGTATTTTGATATATGAATAATATAAAAAACACAAAAGTTGCAATTTAAACATTTTACATAATTAAAATACAGTTGACTTCAAAGGGATGTTGTTGCCTAAGGTCACTCCCCTGTGACCTTAGGTAGGCTCCAGACCCTTGTCCTGTCTGTCAGGTTTTTAGCTCCAACTTAATCTTTTCTTGAACCATTGTTTTGTAAACTCATCTTGACATAACTATATCTCTATGTATGTAATACTCAAGCAATCACACGATCTTTGAAGTTTGTACATGCAAATAAATGAATTTCTTTACAAATCTAAGTTATCATTATCTCACTTAAAAATTTAACTAAGCAATTCCACAAAATAGAGTTACTGAAATAGCTTTGACTTTTTAAACCTTGGATTCTCAGAAATATATGACCTTGCTGAATAATGTAAGTAATGTCACAGTGTAATTTTGTCCATATAATATATGTATAATGAAATAAAGTAGAGTTAACTTCCCCAGAAAATAGTATAAAATATAGTACAAAAGTATTAAAATGTGATTTTTTTTAAATTCCTTACTGGCTTCTCAACTGTAGATACTTTTCAGAATGCAATTATAAAGCATAAAAACCTAAAAAAGACACATGCAGAAAAAAACAAACTGTATACGTACTAAAAGATAGCACTAAAACTTTTTTTTTAGAGTACACTTCACATAATTTTGTTTTTCCAAGATATAATTGTAAAGCAGGCAAAACTGAAATTAGTTGACTTTAGTAATGTATATATATATATGTATATTAAAATGATTTTTCTTTAACTTGTATTTAGTCAGTCAGTAAGAATAATTAATTCATGAGGAATGAAGTTTTTAAATTTATTGAAAATATATTTAGTTGTTTATTTTGTTTTTTGGCAGAGTACAAGCAATATTTCCAACTCCTGATCCTTCAGCTCTTCAGGACAAGAGGATGATTAATCTAGTCGCCTATGCTAGAACTGTAGAAGGTGTAATGTATGAAAAAGCAAATAGTAGAGTAAGTTTCTCTGCTATTACAACTTTATTTTATTTTCAGCATGTGTATATTGTATAAGGTATGTATAGTAATAAAGAGCATACTGAAAAAATTAATAAATTTACTGCTGAAGTGAATTGCTTTATTTATGGATATTTTTACAGATTGAAAGCAGTTAGTAATTTTTTAAGTCTAAATTTATTTTTCGCTTAGTAGGTAATATTTACTTAACATAGATCTGTGTGCTTAGTTCGTACTTGAGTAGGTATGTTGGTCCAAAATGACTTGTCAACTAACTATAGCTAGCATCCTGGGAAAAATTCACTTGATGTATCAGTGAACTAAATACATCATTGGAAATTAATTGTTTTGGTAAACAAACTTAAAAGTTTCATACCACTTTTATCAAAGCTTATGATCCTGCTTTATATTTTCAGATAACTGAATTTGCATAGTTAGAAAGCCAGAAAAATGGTTATAGTTATGGGATACTGTCTGCTTCTTTGCATATTATTATTCTGTGTTCTTTGGTGCATTATGTAATCAAATAAATTATTTAGTGCATTAGTACCATCGGTTTCATCAACAGTTAAAAGCAAAAAAAAAGACCCAAGGAAATAATATATTTCTTGTTTTTCAGGTGTATTCTTTATTATTATTATTATAAGAGTAAGTAAAATGTAAAAATGAAAAACTTTTTAGATTAGATTAGATAAAATAAATAATAAGTGTTTCACAATGGTTGCTAGTAACTTGCAAGTAAGCCTGTGTGTTATGTAATTTGATAGGGTAACATGAGCTACATATTTGCCAAACAATTTACAACTTGTGTGGCAGGAACAGAAATCTTGGTGAACTCAAAGTGAATTGAGATAATTTTGGTGTAGTAAGTGTATATTACTGTTTTCTAAGCAGTCTAAATTAGTCTGTTATGTTCAGTCTTCTTATTTAAGTACAGCTATTATCAGCAACTGTAATTTTCTAAAGGAATTTAATATCCATTTAATTATTTTTTGTTTTTTTTTTGGCATAAAACATTTTTCTTGTTATTACACATTTACCAGTTAGTCCTCAATAAACTATTTTGGCCTCGGTAATTTAATTTTAAATTCTTGTGAACCTACTCTCATATAACATTAGGTTTATCACTTATCATTTATTCATTTAGATTTCTTGTTGAGAAATCTCTTTTCAGTACTTATAAAGGTAAGAGTTTGATGACGTGGTGTAAAAACACTAGTTACTCTGTATTTTGTGAAAGCAACCAGTTTCTGTTTGTCATATATATTTTCCCTGTTTCTTAGAATGGCAGTCACTACACATATTACTGGCTATGTTGACAGGAACCTTTATGCTAGCTGAAATAGTATTGGGGAAATGTCTTTCTAGTTTTTAGCACAAAGTAAATGGATTAGATTGTTGTTTTAAAAAGTGGTATAGATCAATAGAAATTAATTTCAGTTGTAAACTGATGATGGTGAGATAGAAGTTGTTTGTGTATTCCACTATCATGGCTTTCTCTGTTAATCTCTGTTTTACAACTTAATTATGTTGCTGTTTTAAAAATTAGGCTTCCAATATGGTACATTACTGCCTCTCACATTTATAGCTATTGTCTTTCAGTGCTGCACTCTATATGCAAGAATTTTTTTGCATGCCACAAGCCTTGAACTCGTATGTACCTCATGAGCAACGTGGTTCAACTGTGTCTTGCATGTAAATCATCATGAGACAACCCTCCACCAATAGGAGTGAGACTCAACCTCCTGACGCATGCGACTCCAATTCTACCATACTATCACTTATTGTTAGACAGTGATCTAATGCAAACGTTTTCTGATTGTGCTCTCTTCACGTGTTTTTTCTTGAATATTTCTGTGAAGTAGAAATATTATTTCAGTATTTTACTTTGGTTTATTTCTGTAGTTTGACCTGATAAGTCACTGTTGTTTGTTGTTGTTGTTGTTGTTCTTTTTTTTTTAATTCTTCACCATTTATGATGAATTCTGAAGTTTGTGTTACTACTTTGGATGTTCTTCCACCTACTTTCAGCACAATTACACAGGCTTCAGATTGGGGGACCTTGGCTGAAGAATTTTTTGGCTTTAATTTCTCAGGAGATTGATCATTGTATGAGTCGACCTTCTTCTTCTTCTGATATTGCTCAATTTCCTTATGACACCCCTTCCTCAGAGTATTTTGTTTTCTTGCCTTCTCCTGACATCAGAGTTCTTGCTAAGCATTTTATTTATTAATTGAGAGTGGGTGCTAAATTCCTTGTCCTCCATGGGCCTCAGATCATTTTGCCTTGGCTTATCATCAGGCTGATCAATCTTTTCTATGGAGGTTTATCAATGTAAATAGAATGTCTTTGAGTCAGGGTTTTTCCCGTTCTTGGTTGTTCGATCGTGGACTTCTATCTTTTCTATAGTTGGTTATCAACAGCCTTATCCCATACCTTCCATTTTTCCTGATACCATTTGGGGTTTACCTCCCCTACCCTCTCCCTTTTGTTACATTCCTAGATTTATAGATCTCCTCATTGGGCTGTTTTTCCAATTGGAATATCAGTGTTGTTCTTTCCAGCCTTACTCTACCTCCATTTGAACCTTTGTCTTCACGTTCCTTGTTTCACTTCTCCCTTAAGACTTATTTCCTATTCCTATTAGCCTATGGAATCATCGGTTTGATATATTTGCCATTGATGTTTCATTCACTCTGTACCATTCCACATATGTTCTTCTTTATCTGGATTAATCTTTCATCCCTAAAACTTGGCAGCTCATGAGAGGAATTCTTCTTTCTCACCAAATTTGCTTCCTTTCATATCCCACTTTTATTCCTGGTCTGATCTGGATAGACATCTATGGCCCACAAGTGCTCTTCATTGTTACATTGCCCACATGGCTTCCTTCCATGGTTCTCATTCCCTGCTTTTGATTTGATTGGCATATTCATCCTTGTCTCCTTCTTCCAGAAATCCATTGCAGGTGTCATCGCATCAGATCTGGCACCTTATCTTTTACCTGGCATCTCACGTTCGTAGTCTGTTGGAGGAAATTTTTCATTTCATGCATTCATATACCACTATCTTCATTGGATGGTTGTTTCTTCCATGCTGGGGTACCATCTTCCACCTGTCACCATTCTTCAAACTTTGGTGCAGCTGTGACTAGATAAGTTATCTTTTTTATATATAATTTTCTTTCATTGGCATGTCCCTTTTTATCACGGATCCTGCTCTGTGGCAAGCATTGCCTGTCTAGGTATGCTTCATATATCCCAAATCTACACTGTACCACCAAGATGAAATAATACAAAAGAATCAAATAATACCCATTGCCATTAATGAACAATGTTGAGATGATGTGTTCCACAAGATCACTAGTGGATTTTTTTTTGTGATATATTTGCTTTATTAATATGCCCATTTTGGATCATATTAACCCATGAACGTACATGGATAAAGCAGAAGGGGTTAGCTGCCTATCCCTGCTATTCCTTCAATAGAATAAATAAGGGGTGATCTGCTTTTTAATATAGGGTTTTTGTGGTCACCTGTTATACTGTCTCTGGTGTTGACATTCCTCCAGATTCTCCACTGCAATTTATCTTTTCTTGTTCTTCTAGTGGAGTATGGGAGTCCTTGACACTTTCCAATTCTGAGCTGCTGGGGTGGTGGACCATGGAGGTATACTCTTGAATGTGATTACTTTCATTCAGTAGAGAGTAGGATGGTGGTGTTCTGCTGGTGTAGATGGCATGTGATCTTCCAATAATATGTTCCACCTCCATGCAGTGAGTCTCGGAGATTGATCCAGAGGGTGGCTTTGCACTCCAGGTTTTGTGTGATCCTATCAAGCGGATAATGTTGATGGGGGCTTCTGTTCTCTATCTCACGCTCCACCTTTATGTTTTCACTGCTTGAAGCTGATGTTACGCAATGGGGTATCAGTCTGATTGAATTGGATATTACGTGCTACATAAGCATATTTCTTTATACCGTTGTTCGAATGTCGGTTCCCAGATGTGTAGTTGGTTGTGGATTTGCATACATGTGCACAGTAGATCCTTCTGTTCTATTTAACTAGAGGTGAAGATGGTGTGGACCTGGGACAATTTTTTCAGAATAATATGTTTTGCTAAATAACTTCCACTGTGGTTGTGTTTTCTTCATCAAACAAACAAACCCCACATCAGTAACATTTGAAAGCAATTGGTTGCATGGCATTATTTCATTAGTTTCATACTGTAATTTTTACAGCATGATAGCTATTAATATGCCATTGAATGGTTTGTTGTTTAGTAAAATTTCTGAAACTTGAGGCCACACTCACCTTCAGTATTAGATTTGGTATATTTAGATGCTTGTTGCAATATCTTGCAGTCCTGAGCTTGCTTATGTTTCAGGTGATAATGCATTGAATTGTTAGAAGATTCAAAATACTTGTCACCACATGAAACTAAAGTCATTTTACTTGGGCTTCACTTTATAATCACCAGAAACTTTCAAGCAATCCCACATGTATTACTTTACGTCATTGTGAGAATTGGTGAACACAAAGGCTGTTACTGAATCATTTTTCATGTGACTATATTAGTCATCAGGTAAGCTAGAGTCTTATAGAAAAGTGTGTACAGTGCAAATAACATGTCTATGCATGTTATGTTTATGCTAAAATAACACTTTATTTATGTATATATATATAATGCAAGGCATACTACAGGATACAGTTTTTAAGATACCAGTTGCACAAGGATGAAAATTTTCCATTTAAATTTTTTTCTCTCATTAAAAAAACAAAATGATTGGAATTATAGTTTCTAGACAGAACCAACTACATTGTAAGGATTCATTTGTAATTACTATATGATACTTTGTTTGAAGTATTTTTCTTTACTGTGTAATTTTACTTATTTACAAAATTTCATATTTACTTTTATATTTATTTACTAGCGAAAGTACCTGGCTTTGCTCAGGTTATTAGGTTGATATATTCTAGATGACTATGTCAGTATATTTATTCTGAACCTATTTTAGCATAGAAAAATAGTCAAAAATATTTTTATTTCCCCAAAACATTAAAAGTTGTAAAGGTACGATAATAATAAAAGTATTATAGATAATTATAGATGCCACTATACGTCACCTTATCTAACCTCTATAAAAACCAGTGTGTGTCATATAATGTCACGCTTGATTTCTCAAAATAAGAATAGTCATAAAAGCCAAAATGCATTTATCCAGATAGAATAATTTATCCAGATAATAATAAAAGTATTATAGATAATTATAGATGCCACTATACATCACCTTATCTAACCTCTATAAAAACCAGTGTGTGTCATATAATGTCACGCTTGATTTCTCGAAATAAGAATAGTCATAAAAGCCAAAATGCATATGTCCAGTTAGAATAGTTTGTTTAAGGTCTACCCACTACAATTATAGTGATGGGGCTGCAAGGGGGCTGTGAAGAGGGTTGCCGTGAAATATTGTAACTGTAGTGAATGTTAGTATGATTTACTATAATTAATAGATAAGACAGTGTGAGATAACTTAGCCTAGAGCCAAGTGTATAAAATGCATCATGCAAGTAAAAATATCAAACCAATTTTAAACTTAAATCATTTCTGAATTTAATCAATGGAAATTCTAAGTTGTGAAATCAACAAATGCTTTTTCAGTTTTGTAGTTTATACATTTCATTTTATAATTTCAGTACATAGACCAACAACAATATTAGGTTATACTTTTGTTGCTAAATGACATGACATAAAAGCCATTGCTGGAATGTATTGCTGCCAAAATGCACTGGCTTTTCTATTTATTAGAACTTGTTATATAAGGAAACACTTCTTTTCTATGTGTTTTTTTGCTAGCTCGTCTTATTAAAAAGATGAGCACATACGCATGTGGATAAGAAAAGTAATAATACCCAGGTGCACACCATCAAGGTTCACTTAGTGTTGGTGCAAAATTTTGGGTTTCTAGGTTCTTTCTTTCTGGAGCTATGGCAATCACACACACACACCCTTTTATTATTATAGATATGTCCCATAATTTCCAGTATTGTGTAAAACTGGAAAGCTATTTAAAAGTAAAGGTTATAATTTAATTTTTTATTCTGAACTTTAAAATACTGTATCTGAAAAGTAAATGCTACTTTATCTTTTTATAAAAAGTAAATCAATTAGGTTGTTACTTAGCTCATAAGACTACATCAGAGATATGGTTAGGCTTCAGTACCTGATGTAGTTTTGGGACTTGTTTTTTTTTTTTAGCGGAGTTAGAGATCTGATTTTTTTTTCAGAAATTAACTTTGTTTTGTTTATAAATGTGCTTATATGAAATAAAGTTTGATTAATTTTGTAATCGAAAGCCACAAAACACTTCTTTTTGTTTTATTAAAATAATGTTCTTTAACATAAATAAGGATGAAAAACACAAGATGACACATCACGAGTTTAACACAACTTGACTAAAACTTCATTATTCATGAGTTATTGGGTTGAACATTTTGGTGGACTTTCAAAGTCAATAATGTTCTGATGTAGGATAACCACAGATGCAGTATACCCTCTAAACTAGCTTCCATTTTAAGATGTTCATAAGAATAATACTGATTTTTATACTTTTATGCTCTTGCCCCCCTCCAAAGGCACAGAATAGATATAACCAATTGTGTAGCTTTGTGCTTTAGCTACAAATGAAAAGCTCTTGGGCCATTTATAGTCTAGTGGCTAGCTTGCCAGACTGTAAAAAGTCCATGGTTCACATTGTTGCAAAGTGGCACTTTGAGGACTGTGGATGCATTATAAGAGTGACAGTCAAATCCCACTATCTGATTAGAATAGCTTGGGTGTTTATGGTGGATGTTGTTGACTAGCTAACTTCCATCTAGTTTATCAGCTCAAATGTAGGGATGGCTAAGAGAGAGCCTTTGGGTAATTTTGCATGAATATCTGTGCCCAAAAGTATATAGATTACTAAACATGTCTGATGGTATTCTTTTACATATCAACATATATATATATATATATATATTTCCTCCACAGGAAGAATATTATCATCTTTTAGCAGAAAAAATCTATAAAATTCAAAAAGAATTAGAAGAAAAAAGGCAAAAAAGAAAAGAACAGCAACAACAAGACCCAATTCGACAGACACAACAAATTTCAAGTAGTATTGGAGCTTTATCTGTTACTCAACTTAGGGCATCGTCAGCTGGTAAGTATAGAATAACAGTTTTTCAGTGTGTTGACCTAAATTTAGTAGTTATACCTTTCAGTTATAGAAAATTTAAATAATGCTAACATCTTTGAGTGGTTTATCATATTATCATTCTTTTGGATTAGAATTTGATTAGCCTTGTTTATACACGCTTAAATTAAGATATGGTTAGTAAGACAATTTTTGGAGCAAGGGCTGCAAATTAAAACTTAACTTCTCTGTTCTGCTTATCTGTATGGAAATCCTTTTTGCAACTTTATCATTATTTTAGACAGAAAACAGAATCTAAAAGTTATATATCTGTTGATTTTACACAATTAGATTGTATTCATTTTAGTTGATATAGAAGAAAACATCAAATAAAATGGAAAAACATCATAAAAACCCTTTTTTTTTGCCCATTTTTGAGTTTATGGGAATAAAATGTAATTTATGGAGAATAAAACAGTAGTGTCATAAAATTTTTAAAATGGTACAGTTACTCATGTAGAGTTTTTAATTGAATATTATACGTTTAACTTGTACAATAAATTGATGTGCATTTTTTAATATTGAATGTTTTTACTTATTTAATGAAAGCTATGTACAAAAATGGTCATAGAATCTTTTAAAATCATATTTCCAAACTGTCACAAAACATTGAATTACTAACTCAAAGTACTTTCCAGTCAGTTGCATTGAAAGATTGATGTTGAGCCAGTGACTCTTGTTAGTCATTTAAACTTTGCAAGTACCAACCTAAATCTTTATTGGTTATTTCTGAAGACCAGCCATTTTATGAAATTAAGAAAGTATAAATTTCAGTGATAGTCTCCCACTTGGAATGTGTGATTCTTAAGTGTTTATGCTTGAATTTCTTTTTGTGGAAAATATTTTGTGCTGCAATCAGTTCTAAAATTGAGCATTGTGCTACAGTTTATAATTTGTGATATAAATATAGCAGTATATAAAATCAATAGTAACTATCTCACCTTTATTCTACATTTTTTTACATGGTCTTTAAGAGAAAGCAGGAATATGTGTCACAAAAAAGACTGCAGGTTTTTATTAACAGTGATAAATGATTTTAGAATAATGCAAGATAATTTTTATGTTAAGAAGAAAAATACTTTTTTTCATCCTACAGTTTTATATTTCACCTGCCTAACCTCTAAAAAATCTTAAGTGAATATCACAAGTTTTTCATAAAAACTTTATAATCATCTGTTATTTTCTCTACCCTAAAACTAATTGTAACAAAATCAGCAATGTAAGGTAAAATTAAAAGTTTAAAAACATGTAGTAAGTCTAAATTACTTTTTTTCTTTTTAGATTGACTGCATATTGAAAGAAGTCAATTAATTACTCACTAATTATACTTACAGCTAATAAATTTTTCAAATCTGGGCCATTGAACCCTCTCTCCACGGACATATTTTTCTGTGCATGTCACAAGGTTTTAGTGAGTTACATTTAAAATTAAATTAAACTACTTTCTTTCATTGTATACAAATAAATATAGCATAGAAACAGAACTAATAATCCATATTTTAGTAATATATAAATTTTAAGTTCTTATTTTTAAAGGGCAATATTAGAAAAAAATCTAGAATTCCCTTAGTGTGAGAATTGTGATATTTGCTCTCTTAGCATCCCCTCTTCTTTAATATATTTACCACCCCTCTAAGAAGTATTAAATTTCATGTAAACTACTTAATATAATATCATCATCATCAGGCAAAGTATAATTTTCATAGCCTTCAATCTTATTTGTTACAGAGCCATGAAATAGACAACCAGACCCCTCTTGCCATGCTCACCTGTCACGTCCTGTCTTTCAGAAATTGACATTCAATGCTATATTATTTATAACCAATAGAATGCCAAGGTTTTTATCTATCAGATGACATATTATATTATGTTGTTTTATATAAAGAGAATTGTCAATTTCGCTTTCAGTTCAAGCTTGATTCCCACTGTAAAAATGTCGACAGCTTATATGAAGTTTTAATGGCTTTTGTCGCATAGTTAGAAAGCCAGAAAACTTGTAACAGTTATGGGACATTGTCTGCTATTTGCATATTATTAATCTGTGTTCTTTGGTGCATCATTTAATTAAATAAGAATTTATTTAGTGCAGTGCTACAATTAATATAAAAAAGTAGTGTTAAATGTCATCAACAGTTGACAGCAAAAAAAAGAAGACCCAGGTAAGTACATTTTTCTTGTTTTTTATGTATATTCTTTATTTATTATTATAAATGTATCCAAAATGTAAAAGTAGGAAATTTTTTATGTCAGTTAAGGGTAGGTTAGGTGAAATAACTAATACTAATATAATAAAATTTTTCACAAGGCACACTCGCGAGCAGCTTGTGCATAATGTAATTTGATAAAGTAATGTGAACTTCATGTTCACCAAGTGATTTACAATTGATAATGACGTGAATGGTAGTTAAATAGGATTCAAAGAGCAATAAAACAATGAAATTTGAATATAAGAAGATGTACACTGTTATGAGTTTACAGCTATTTAACATAAACAAATGTAGTTTCATTTACAATTGGAAGTCATTCCAAAAAGTAAAATAGGGTAATTTAGATTTTTTTTGGTGGTTATGAGGTCAGTCAAATTGATCAACCTTGTATAAAGTTAGGGTAGAGAAAATAACAGATAAAATATAAAGTTTTGCTGAAAAAATACACAGATAAAATTCTAGATTTTTGAGATGAAGAAAAGTATTTTTAATCTTATCGTGAAATCACTTAGCACTTGGACTAGTATATATAAATACTATATTTATTAACGGACACATCTATAGTAAAAATACTTAATAAAGAATTGATTTTTTGTGTACAAAAGACCTGTAATGTTTACTAAATGTCAGTCTAATTTTATGAAGATACACCAAGTTTGTTAGAAATTATAGTATCAAATCCATAATGAATACAAAGTGGTTAAGAAGTCGATTAATTCTACTGACGTTGTAGTGAGAGAGATAAATTTGTTGCTGTAAAGCTGCACTTACCATCTCAGGATACACCAAAATACATTTATCACAGTGAAACAACTTTTGTTTAAACAAATGATCAAGTTTTCAAAATATGCTGTCTTGACTAAAACAGATTAAACCTACTATGTTTTACAAGGTATTATGGTTGCCATTGGATGCATGGAATTTTTTTAAACATGAATTTTAAAATTAACAAGCAGCTTAAAAAACTAGAATGATTAGAATATGGATTTCATTATTTTCTTCCCTGAAACTTTAGGTTCCGGTACAGCTATAGTGTCACAACCTCACAGGCCTGTCGTGGGCCTGCAAAATTCACAACAGAGAATGCCTCCTCCAAATATTACTATTCCTGGACCTAGGAGTGAGTTTTTTCCAAGCTCTGCAGGAGTGCATATAAACCAGAATCAGACAAACTTAAACATTTCCAATTCAGGACTTTCTGCTATTACATCAGTTGGTATTCATCTTTCTAAGCCTAACAGCAGTGTAGCAAGCATAGTAACTACAGTGAGTACTTCTTCATTTGATCTTGTGATGACAACTTCCTCCAGTATTTCTGCTGTTCCTGTGAGCTCTCAGTATGTGTTATCCAGTGTTGGACCCCATCAAGGACACACTCAGTTTACAGAAAAGATTAAATCAAGACAAGTTACAGTAAGTAGGTCATAATTATTTTCTGTGATGTTCAACAAAATTTTAGGTTGTCATAGAAATAAAAGAAATAGTCTTTGTATTATTGTTTATTCATGAATATGTGGAAATGAATACTAGATATATTTCTAGGGAAGTAATGTTTTCATTATCTAAGACTAATGTGAACTTGTAGCAATGATGAAAATACATTACCTGTTAATCTGTGTGGTGGTGGTGTAATGTCCCTGTAAACATAATTTATAGCTTTACTAGGATAATATTAGTGTTAACACTCCATCTACAGGCCTTTATCCTCTTTATTCTACAGATAATCATGAAAATTTCAGCAAGATCAACTTTTTCTATCTTTCTTTTCTCAAGAGAAACTAAGAGACCTTAATCTATCCCCATAAGAGAACTCTTCCATTTTGAAAACCATCCTACTTGCCTCCCTTTGAAACCTCTATAATCAGTTGTTATCTTTTCTTAGATAAAATGACTAAAATTTAACACCGTATTCCAAGTAAAGCTTAACTAGTGCTTTGTATAGAGATAATTGCATCTTTTTCACTTGTAATCAACTCCAGTCATGGCTCATCTGCGTGTCATGATATTTTATATTTTCAAAGAGTTACATTCAAAATTTAAATAAACAACTTTATCAATAGTAATGTATATCATTAAAATTAGCATCAGAATGTATTTTGTAATTAATATTCTTGAAATTGTTTTAGTATTAATTTCTTAGTTTTCAAATAAGGTACTGAAACAAATTCTGAATCTGTACAAAGATATGTGAGTGCTCTGAATTTTCCCCTTTCAATTTGTATAATTTCAGTAGTACAGCATGTTTACTGTCTGTGTTATGTAGACACAATCTGTAAATAATTTCTATGTTCAATGCACAGTTTCAGCATCCTGACTCTTTGTTTAGTGAGATATCAGTAAATTTACCCAACCCATGACAGAAACCCTGCCTATCTAACCTTAACTTTCAAGGCAGTTTTCAAAATCACATCATATTAGTTGCTGTATGTGTTTACAACAATTAAAAAGAGATTATTCTGAAATTTAACTTGCAGTAGTCCTTTGGGAATCTGCCAAATGTCTCCCCACCATGATGTACTGCTTTTCAGTGATGAATAAACTGTATGTTGTATAAGCCAGGTAATAAAACTGTAAGATTAAAAATAGTATGTATGTGAATATATTAATGGTTGAAATTATGAATAATATCAACTCAAGATGTGGAAAGAAATTATTTACTGAAAGAAGAAGAAGACAAGTATGTTTATTTTATTTCATTTTACATTGATGATTCAGCAACAGTTAGTTTTAGGGTAGAGAAATAGTAGATAAATATTTACTCATGGCACCAAAACAAAATAAAAGTATGATAAAACGCTGCTCTTTCTAATAGCATTCTTTGAAAGACTGAATGACATGGAGAGGTTGTCAAGTGGGCTTGAAATTCTTTTTTTTTATATTTTAGTAAATCAAGATTTGAGGTTCTAAATTTATATTCTGACTTGTCAATATCTGTAGCACGTGTTTCTAATTAGCTGAACTCTCAGGAAATTGTGATTATAAAAAAAAAATGTAAATGGGCAATTTGAAGAGCAGATGCAATGCAGATGTGACATAGAAAAGAGAAGATTGAGAATTTTTTGTATTTCTCTTGAAATTCAAATATTAAAGTTGAAATTATAAACTATGTTTTGATGCAAAGTTTATTGACATACATTGATAATTATATTGTAACTATAATGTAATAATATTGTAACTGTAAAAGGTCAGGATATGTACACTTTGACCTTACAGTGCATATAAGGTTAATAACATTTATCTTTCACCCATCCAGTTGATCTTCAGTCCTATCAACTAATCTTTCCAAACTGCATCATTGTGGATTTTCTTGGCACCTTACCAAAACCCATTTGTATATCTTAAGTACACCAAGTCATGCCATTTCCATCATCCAGTTTACGTATAACATCTTCAGAAAAGTTAGCAGATTAGCCTGGCAAGATTTTCCTTTAGTGGATACATATTATATTTCACAAAATGATTTTGTGATTCTTTTTTTTATCAGACCTTAAGAATTTTTCTCACTATAGAAGTAAAACCATCTGGCCTAAAATATTGAAGTTGGCTCTTGTCACCCACTTTAAAAATAGGATAACATTAGCAATTCTTCAGTTCTCGGGCACCTGACAACTATCTTTTGTTTTCTGTAGTACTGTAGTCTGAAATGCAATATAGTTTCAATTTTTAATTATCCTTTATAATGAAATTAATCAGAGAGATTTTTGAACAAAAGTTGAAATATTTGTAAATTACACTTGTTCTTGTACAGGTTGGAAAATGTGGTATTTTATCTGGAAAGTAAGGGGGAAAATTTTTTTTTTCTGAAGTAATGTAGCCATTCTGGTTTGCTTTTCAGTCACTGGGTGCTCATACTTATTAATAATGTCTTTAGCTGATAAATTTTTTTTGTTTACATATTTTTGTTTTGCAGATTATGATAACGTTTTTTTTATGTAAACATTGCTACATTGTAATGAAGAAATATAGAAACTATTTAAAAAACAGCTGTCTTTAAATTGTGGTCCTGGAAAAATTCAGAAATTTCAGTTTCAATGAAATACCCTTCATCTTATATACATTGCGAACCATCGTGACTGTCTGAGCATTTGCCTGTCTCCCGTTTACGTCAGCCACTTGCACTGAGTTTGAAAAGCTGCACACACACGTAGAAAAAGTTCAACATTCACTTTGAAATGATGGGAGAACAGGCATGAATAATGTTGATGCCAAATTTTATTTCACAAGCAGGATATTCTACACTAAATTGTTTGGAATTAACCACACTATACTTCACTTTTTAAAATGTGACATAACTTAAAGAATAAAAATGTAGATTTACTGTACGTTATTGTTGAGTGTCTCTTAGCATGACTGAAATGTGCGACAATTACTTTTTACAGTGGGCAGTATAAGTAGTTCAACACAACTGACCTTTTTTTAAAGTCCATGAAATAATTTAAATTGATAGAGTAACTTAATTTTTTTTTCTGGCACTGTGGATTGGTACTTTTGCTTGTAACATAATAGGCTTAATTAGAAAACATAATTAAATATTTTGTTTATTGGAATCAGGTTTATATTTTGTATTGCCCATTGTGAATCTTGTACTTCATAAGATCTGAAACAGTTGCACCTCACTTTAATGTGCATCTTTATGAGCAAAAAATGTTAGGAAAATGCAAGTTTTATCCTGCATGACAGATTTCATAAGTTTTACAAATTTAACTGTGGATCTTTGAAGGTCCTGGATTTTCATTTTTAAATCTGTATGAACCCTGATACAGCCCTTCTTTGATTTGTTTGAAAAATGTTAATTTCAGATGCAGCAGACACGAGTTCCTGTTTCAACATCTCAGACACCTGTAACTGTCTCTTCAATTAGTGGACTCAACTCTCCCGTAGGTATTTCAACTAACATACAAAGACAATTTAAAAATAAACATTCTGAGCTTATATCTGAAATTTTTCTCTCTCGATCATTCCCATTTTATTATTTTTGCAGTCAAATCTCATAAAAAATAAAATACTGTCAATATAACAATTTGTGATTGTTGATTTGGATATGCACATATAAAAATAAAGATTTTTCAGGCAGAGACAGTTTATTTTAAGCAGAATTTGGTCTAATAGTAATAATAATTTTAAAAAAATATCACATTATTTTGAAAGCACAAAAAGAGAAAGGAATAGAAAATTAGTAATGTTGATAAGATTTCATGCTGTAGTAGCTTATCATTGTGTATAAATTCTATATATAGGAAATAGTGTTTGCAAGACGGAAACTATTTCCAGCCGTAGGTGAAACACAGAAACATAATAGGCTTCTTATCATGTATTGAAGTGAAGGGAAAAAAAAATTAAAAATGCTTTTAGAGAGTTAATTTTTTGTAAAGCTGTACCTATTTTCTCCTTTTCAATTTAGAATTTCTTATTGAATATTTACCAGATTAACACCCAAGATTATTCTTACTAACAGATCATGTCAATGTTAAACATGGGTCACTTCTTTATTGAGGAACTTTATATTTATTAAGTACCAGAATAATAATTGTAATATTAAAGTTGACTTATATTTTTACTAGAGTGCATCTTGGTTTTCTATTACATTTAGGTTAGTGTTTTTCAGAACAGTTGGAACAAAAGAAAGTGGCTTAAACTAATTAATAATCACTATTCACAGTTCACAAGTGTGGTTACAAAAAATATTTCACACTTTCAGCTCTGATGGTTAATGAAACAAAGAAATGAAAAAGAAAATTGCAGTGTGAAACACAAGAAAATATACTTTAGTAACTTACATTCCATGATCAATTATTTTTAATTGAAGAATACTTGATTTTTGAGCCTGTAGGTTAATAACTTGCACCTCTGTAGCCTTTAGTTCTCTTGACACTTGCTCAGTCATTTTGACCAACCTTGTAATCACCAGGTAACCATGAAAGTATTCATATTAGAACTGTTAATGTGATATGTGTATCTTCATGAAATTTAGCAAGCTTTTGGTAAATATTAAGTCTTTTGTACATAAAAATAGACATTAAGTATTTTTACTGAATATTTGTCTGTGAATATATAGAGTTAGAGTGTTAACTAGTCCAAGTACGAAGTGTTATGATTAATAATATATTTTTTTTCATCTTACAATTTTCAAATTTTATTTGTATAAAGCCTCTTAAAACTTCCTAAAAACATTTCTTCTTCAGTAAAACTTAATATTTTATCTTTTATTTTCTCTACCCTAACTATAAGGATTTAATAAATTTGACTGATCTTGTAACCACATCAAAAAAAATACCAAATGAATTTAAATTACCATTTTTTTTCATTCTAGAATGTCTGCAGATTGTTACAGAAAATCTATATAGATAATACACTTGTGTTTGGTTGTCCAGAACCTATCTTGCAAATTTCTCAATCAAATGCTACAGATCTCAGCATTAGAAAGGCCATAGTCTGAGGAGTCTGGATTGCATATTGGCTTTTCAGTTTAGAATCACTTTACCTATTTTTTGCTTCGTGAAACATTTTAATGCAGTGAGTGTGCTAGACGATGGCATAATGTCATTGTCACCACATGACGACTGGCTTTGATTTCACCTTTAGTTTTTTCATTTGCAAAGAATTTCACACAAACAACACTTAACCCATGTGTAATTTCCTAAAAAGAATGAACATTACATGAAATACAATTTATAAGGGCTTTCTTGACTTATTTAGGTCAAAAATACATTTGCACAATTCGTTCAAAATCATAAGCTTATCACTGTGTGACAACACAAATTCAGATTTTTCTGAATATTCAGCAAAGTTTGTCTTCACTACAACTTTACATTTACTTTTTTTTGCAGTAATTTAACTTCAGTTCATTTCATAGACTGCTATAAACACCTTTTAGCTACTTTTTTTTATTATGTGTTTTATTCTTCATATTTTCAGTTTCGTTCTTTCAACTCGTAAAACCGTGTCATACACTGAATGTTCGTAACTGTTTCATACTCTTTACACTATTATATGTATACCATTACTTTACTGTTTATGTGTCATTTTATTAAATAAAGCTTTGTTTGTTTGACTACATTGAAATTTTTCGAATAAACCAGGATTTATTGATCTAATACATAAGGTTTAATTAGAAATATTATTTTTGGGCCTTGTATATTACTTGAAACCATAAGGAGAGTACGTGATTATTAAAAATTAAAAACGAGACAAAATTTGAATTTTATGGACGATAAAAGTTTTTAGAGATTTTTCAAATAATGTACTAAAACATAAAAGTAAGAAGTTCAAATCTAATATAATATAAATATTGTAATTATTTTTTTATAAATACCATATCCATAATGTTATTTTCCAAGATATTAAAGATCATAATGCAAAAAAACTAAATGTATCAAAAGTAACAGACTTTATGTTTCTTAAACTACGTGCATTTATGAAAGTTCGTATGAAGTTTTAAACAGTTTTATCCACTAGATGTATTGTTGGAACAAAATATAGCAAGACGATATATATGGAAAAAGTTAGTAGCTAGTAGTAATTGGGTTAAGTGATGTAAAGCACAAGTTAGTTGCGAGAATATCTCATGTATAAATGGTTTGTATTATCTAACCTAATAAGTTTCTAATTTTTACATTTTATTTACTTTTATAAAAAAAAAAACGAATACATAAAAATAACAAATGTTCGGTTGTTTTTTTTTTTTTAGCAGTTGACCTGCTAGTGAAACATAAGTGTACTTTTATTTTTTGTAATGATGGCAGTAGTACATTAAATAATTTTCATTGACTTAAAATACGGACTGAAGAACACGAAATAGAAACACGTACCAAGCAAATAATGTTCTATAACTATTTCCATTACCTATTTGATCAGAATTTGACGGTAACAACTTTTAATCTGTAGGTGAAAACAAGGTAGCATTATACATCAGTTAGTAAATTAAAATATCTTTCTCTTGGTTATAAGTGATGTAATAGAAATGTCAGAGGAAATTATTGTCAATTTGTGAAAAAGAGGATGTGATAGATGGGGGTGGTAAGTGGGTTTGACTTTCTAGTTTATGTCTTCATAAACAAAGAATGTTGAAGGCTATAACAATTACACTATATTTTAGTAATGTCTATGCTCTAATGAGTAATTTATGTTAAACTCAGGACATAGAGAGGGGGGATATAAAAGTAGAAAATGGTTGAATCAAAGAAAACAATCAACTATACAAACTTTAGGGTAGATTAAGTATTTTTTTAATTTAAAAATTAAGAAATCAAAACTTGTGTAATATTAAAATTTGATTTATTAACTAAGCTTGATGTAGCTTGTTGTGCAGCTTTGCGCAAAACTTAAAAACAAAACAAAAACAAACAAAATCTCCAAACGTTGTGCAGCTCCAGGAAGCATCACTTGTAAATAGTGCTTTTAATATTTTTTTTTGTTATACTCTTTCTGCCCATCTCAAAGTGTAGGCTTATATTTTCAAAGAAACAATTTGACTCCATATATTCATGGAGAAATTTTTAGTGAAAATACTTCATTAAAAATTCTGATTTTTTGTCTACAAAAGACTTGATGCTTACTGAAAGCTTGCTAAATTCCATGAAGATATACAAAACATATAAGAAGCTATAGTATGGAAACCTTAACCACGTGTGTGGTGGGAATATTAGTTAGACAAGGTTCAAAGGGCAATAAAACAAAATATAACTAGGAACAAATGTATACTGTTATAAGTTGAAACCAATTTAGGATAAACAAATATAGTTTATGCTACAATTTGAAGTCATTTTTAGAAAGAAAGGGAATTTAGATTTATTTGAATTTCTTTTTTTGGTGGTTACCACATTGGTCAAAATGCCTAACCTTGTGTAGAGTTAGGGTAGAGAAAAATAAGAGATAAAAATATAAAGTTGTCCTGTTTGTATTTCATTTAGAAAGTGAGTGATTTTTCACAGTTTTTTTGTTCAGGTTTTTATATTGAGTGTTGTCACAGGCAAAAATATAAAATTCCTAGATTGTATGAAATATGTGGACTCCACCAACAGGGAATAGAAAAAATGAATTGGTAATTTGAGGGTTAAAATTAATAACATTAAAATTAGGAAGTAATGCTTTTTTATTATAACAAAAAATATCATGTGGGAGTATATTTTGTTCATATGTTGAATATTTTTTTTAGTTTATTAAAAACTGTATTTGCAAAAATCTTGCTAATTCTGTGGCTCCTTGTTTCTTATTTTTAGGTACCTGTTATGCATTTAACACAACTGCAACCTTCTGGAAGTCCAGTGGCTGGTAAGCCTCAAACTTTACCACCTTCACAAATATCGCCTCATCCTATACCCCATTCTGTTCCTCTTCCTCATTCATCAACACCTCAACCTGAGTCGCAGCAAACACCAATACAGCAGCCCCCTAGAGCAGCATCAGTACCAGGAACTACAGGAAATTCTCCCCAGACTCCTTGTACTTCTCATAATGTGTTAGAAGATCAGTTACAGAGGATATCGACAAACCATCACCAAAATCTTCAGATCTCAGAAAAGGCATTATCTAATCTAACCAAAATCGACTCTCAGCCATCAAACCTAGACAGTACTACTGAGGAAGTTCTGTTTTCATCTGTATCAAAAGACACATTGAAAAGTATTGGTGGTGCTACTGTGCAAGTTCCTACTTCTTCAGTTACTTTAACATCTTCATTTGTTTCCACTGTTACTACTGTTACACCATCAGCTACTGTATCAGAAACATCTGCTTGGGATCTTGATAAAGTTATGGACAGTACAGGTATCAATAAAGTTGCAGAAAATACGGTTATTAAAACAGAAATAGAATCTACAGATATAAAACATGAAGGGAAAGATGAAATAAAAAAAGAAATACCAGATGAAAATATTACACAAAAATTTACTTCTTTTGGTACGTGTGCCAAGGAAGAATTAACATCAGGAAAACGTGATTCTTTAGTTTCCCAATCCAGTACAACTTCAGAATCAGCTTGTGATACTGATGTTAAAAGTGAATTATTGGAAGCAGGTTCTCATCCACCACCAAAGCCAAAGCCAAATAAAAAAAGTAAGTGTATTATGAGACATTTTTCTTTTAATCAAGACAAAAAACTCATGAAAATTTTTAAATTGTTATTTTGTAAGTATCATATTTTCAACTGTCACCAAAATGAAGTAATTCTGAAGTTTCCTTTGTTTTTTGCACATATTTTAACATTTGATGCTAAAGAAAGAAAACCATTCAGAAGCATATTGCAATAATACTTGGATGCAAGGTAATGTAAGAAAAAATTTTTCAAAAATCTTGGAGAAAGAAATAGGCATAAGAATCTAAGTTGTAGCATTAGTAGTACAAGTCAGCAGAAAACTTTAGCAATTTAACGTGTATGCCTAAGTATGACCAATTCAGTACTGTATATGTTTAATGCATCTCAAATATGCAACCTAGAACAGCTTCATAAATGCACCCAGTGAAGTGAAAAATCTTGCTCATTTACAAATAGAATTAAGACTACTTAATTTGGACAAGGGATTTTTTATTACTTAAAACATATGAATAAAATTTGAACAGTTATTTCCATTTTTCACTTGGTACATTATATGCATTAATTTACTTTTAATATAGTGGTACATTTTTGATATTAACCAAGTAACTGTTTCTTAACCACCATTTATAGAAAACATTCTTCAAGTACCAGGTTTATTTTTAGATACACAATAAAAACAGAAGTTATATAGTGTTTCCATGTCTATAACAAAAACATTCAATATGAAAAAATGCCAAATTATAAAAAGACCCTAGCCATATAAAGTGGAGATATCAGACACACAAGCCAAGTTACAAAAAAACAGTTGAAGTAACTTTATAATATACTGTTACTTTTATTTTTAGTAGTAGTACTAGTGTATAGCCTGTATAGTGTATGTGGCAAGTACTACCACCCCCACCCCATAGTATACCCTACCCTCACATTTCATAGCTAATTGAAATAAGCAAATTTTGTGAGATCAAGCTGGAGTGGCAAAGAGACAGAAAAGTGCAGTCGAGCAAGTCAAACCTTGGTAAATTCCTTTTTGAGCAAATCAAAATTCAGATCATTCATGAAATGAATTTGTGGTGTATTTATAGAATAATTATTGGTAAAAATCAGTTTGAAAAACCAATGTGTTTTGGTAACACTGTGTTCCAATAATGGATTTTATGTCATGTCATTTAGCAACAAAACTAAAATCTAATATTCTTGATAGTCTGTGTACTGAAAGTATAAAATTAAATGCATAGACAACAAACTGGCAAAAATATTTGTTGATTTCTGAATTTAGACTCCATTGATTAAAGAGATTTGTTTTGTATTTGAAATGTTGGTGATATAACAGAAAATAGCTTAATTCAGCAACGATTTAATAAGTTTAAAATTGAACTGAAATTTTTACTTTCATGATAAATTTTATGTACTTGGCTGTAGGCTAGGTTATCCCACACTACTTTTTTACTTTACCAACACTCACTATGCTTATAAGGTTTCACGGCCCCTTGCAACTCCGTCACTAAAATTGTAATGGGCAGATAGTAATCAAACTATTCTATCTGGATAAATGCATTTTGGCTTTTAAGACACCTTCTATTTCAAGAAATCAAGTGTAACATGATATGACACACACTGGCTTTTATATAGGTTAGATAATATTAATTTTGTTAGTATTCTTATAATATGTCATGAAGCCGGTGAGATTCATGTGCAGGAATACATGTTTTTTAAGCAACCAAAGCATAGCATTGTGGTTAAGTTCACAGTGTAATATAAGAAGAATTGCAGGTTCAACCCTACTCTAAGACAGACTCCATCTTTTTATAACGTGAGTAATTAGTTTAATATAAGTGAAATAAACATAACAGAAGATGCATTTCCTGGTTTATTTTGTTGTTGACCAACAAATGAAGTGTACAAGTATAGTTGTTGTGTAATGTAGATATGGTTGTTCAATAGTCAGTGCATTTGTATTGAAAAACATGGCAGATTAAGAAATATTTTTATGCCTTAACTTGAAGGTTTATTTCTCATACTGTAAGGCAGACATTTAACCTAAGGTAATTTGAAACTGCATATTAAGAGTAGAATGGTGCTCCTGGCTGATGTAGTTTAGGTGTGCTTATACCCCAGAAACAGCAAAACTATCTGTGCTGTATATAGAGTCACTGGTAGTCCTCTGCCACTTTTTTTTATATAGTTTGGTCTTTGGAACTACCATTGCTCTTTACATGTACCCTTGGCAATGATCTAGAGGGGGATATACATATGCCCCTGCATCATTGAGAGTTGAAAAAATAATAAAACCTTTTCGATTTTGTGTTCCCAGTAATTTATTAATTATCTGCACCATCCTCCCTATTAGATAACATTTGTGGGTTTTTTCTAATGGTGAGTATTAAAAAAGGATTTAATTTGGTTTTTAAGATTTATTTATATATTTTTTATAGTTTTTAAACCTGATGAATTGCGACAAGCATTAATGCCTACATTGGAGAAGCTATACAGACAGGATCCAGAGTCACTTCCTTTCAGACAACCAGTAGATCCTCAGCTTCTACAAATACCTGTGAGTGTGTTTGATATTATATATATATTTTTTTTTTTGCATGTCCAAAAATAGATAATTTTTATGTCAAATATATATTGATATTGTTAAATGTTATCACCACGAAAAATTCAGTTTTTCAGATTTTGTCAGTAGGATTTATAGTCTTTATGGCACTTGAGAATTCAAATTAGTTTTTTCTAATATAGAAATTAGTAACTAGGACTAGTTAAACAGGTGAATTAAGACAACTTGCAATATCTTATATTTTGGATGCTACTGGTTATCTTTTTCAGTTGCTTGCTGTCATTTATTGCACAGCCTCCTTTAAAATGTGCACATGTTGATACTGTTGAACATAATGTTGCCAGAAATTTATTTTTGATACAAGTGATTTTGAAAAACCTAGGAATTATAATTAATGAATCTATAAAAACAAAATACATTTATTGGCAAACTGATGAATCTGAAAAACTATATTTCAAAATCAATATGTTACAACCGGTTCTTTAACTCTCTTGCTAATGGCATTCTTTTCTGCACACGTCACAAGGTATTTACTGAGTTACATTCAAAATTTAATGAAAGTACTTTATTATCATAATATATAAATAAACTGGGAATCAAATTGTAACTAATAATCCAAATTTTAATATTATGTAAATTTTAAGTTCTTATTTTATAAGGCAATATTTAAAAAAAAAATCCTCAATTTCCCCCTAGTATGAGAATTGTGACATTTGCTCTCTAGGTATCCCCTCTTTTCTAATTTAACTACCACTCCTCTGAGATGTATGGAATTTAATATAAATTACTCATTATAATGTTATAGCTCAAGCAAAGCATAATTTTTATATCCTTCAATCGTATTTGGTTACAGAGCCATGAAATATACAACCAGACTTCTCCTGCCACACTCACTTTTCACATTTTCTCTGACACAAGTTGCTAATACTGTATTATTTACAACCAGTAGAAAGCCAGTTTTAATCTATCAAATGACATTATATTACAATGTTTTCTGTACAGAGATTTGTCATTGCTCAGGCAAAGCATAATTTTCTAATTTGGTTACAGTGCCATAAACTGGAAATTTAGACCCCCCTCTTGTTACATCCTTTCTGTCACAAATTGTCAATAATTCTGTCTGATGTTTAATACTGTATTGTGTATAACAAGTAGAAAGCCAAAGTTTTAATCTATCAAATGGTATATTATATTATGTTGTTTTCTGTGCAGAGAATTGTCTATTTCACTTCCACTTTAAACTTTATTCATGTCATGGAAAACATTGACAAGCTTAACTGAATTTGCATACTTAGAAAGCCAGAAAAAGTGTGATAGTTATAGGACATTGTCTGCTTTTTGCAGGTTATTATTTTGTATTCTTTGATTCATTACTTAATTAAGTAAAAAATTATTTAGTGCAGTAGTACCATAAGTATAAAAAGTATGGTTAAGTTTCATTTACAGTCGACAGCAGTATTCTTTGTTTATTATTATAAAGGTAACTGAAATGTAAAAATGAGAAACTTTTTAGGTTACATTAGGTAAAACAAAGAATAATGACAATGATAATTTTTCATGAGGTATGCTCGTCAGTAACTCTCGAGTAGCCCTTACTGTACGTAATTCGATAGGGTAATGTGAGCGATATGATACGTTTGACACAATATTTACAGTGTGTGTGGTGGGAATATTAGTTAGACAAGGTTCAAAGGGCAATAAAACCAAATTTAACTAGAAACAAATGTATACTGTTACAAGTTTAAACCAAATTAGGATAAACAAATATAGTTTCATGCTACAAATCGAAGTCATTTTAGAAAGAAAAGGTAATTTAGATTTATTTGAATTTGTTTTTTGGTAATTACCACTTTGGGCAAATTGCCTAACCTTGTGTAGAGTTAGGGTAGAGAAAAATAAGAGATAAAATATAAAGTTTTACTGGAAAAAAAATGTTTGAAAATTTTTAGGAGGTTTTGAAGATTATGCAAATGAAGTTCGAGAATTTTCAAATGAAGAAAAGTATTTTTAATCTTAACATGAAAACCACTTTACGCTCAGAGCAATTAACAATTTGACTCCATATATTCATGGAGAAATTTTTAGTGAAAATACTTCATTAAAAATTCTGATTTTTTGGGTACAAAAGACTTAATGCTTACTGAAAGCTTGCAAAATTTCATGAAGATATACAAAACATATAAGAAGCTATAGTATGGAAACTATACAGGTCAATTTGGGGTTAAGATTTAGGTTGAATCTACAGAGTCCGTAGCAAGAGATTTGAAACAAAGTGCATATACCATATTTAATTACAGTGTAATCTTAAGAAACAGAAAGCAGTGCATTAGTGAAAGGTGTAAATTACACTGTTTGTTTTTATTTATATCATGAGTCAGATATCATAACCTTCCTGCCTGTAAATTAAAACTTCTGAAATGAATATTCATAAATTACAGAATATTGATATTGTAACTGACAATTAAATTTAATATATTTAATAGTAACTTGAACATGTTTTTAGATATATTTTTCTAAAATTCTTAAAACCTGTTGAGTAGCAGTTAGATTTGACTCTTATGGAAAAGCTTGGATGTTACTGAAGCTAACTGGAATTTCACTAAAGACTGGCTGAGCATCTTGTAACAAAATGCTTTTGCATATAACTACTTTATTGATAAATTCATAATTTTACTGGACATTTCTTACTTCTTGTTTTTTTCATTTTAATACTTGTCCATAGTCATCTCTTTTAATTAAAAGTTTCAAAGAATAACATTCCTATAACACAGTGTTTTTAGTTTGTGGTGGTGGTGTTCCACAAACATGGGTCTAGATTTATAATTCAAATTTGAATGACAAAGTCCAAAACTTATGCCAAGCATGGTTAGTCAAAGTTGAATACAGAAATAAGAAAGAAATATGCAAAATTTTTTTATGGAGTTAATTAAATGCAGATTAACATTAAACAGAACTTAATGCTCTTTATCAATTGAGAGAAGAGCCATAATGAAGGGAATTTGAAAAAATTTACCATTTAAGGTAAGAAAAAAAAAATGTAACATTTCTCTAACAAAGTTTTCACAATTTTGATAGGGAAAAAATCATAAGAAAATAAATATATATATATATATATGTGGTATATTTGATATATTTAGCTTTTTTAACTGTTAAATAGTCATGAAAGCTGGCAGGAACCTGTGAAAAAAACTGTACTTCAAGTTTTTAATTAAATTAACAGAAGAGGAAATACTGGAGCTTTTGATGTTGCCATTTTTCGAATACGTGTGTCTGTATATATGTATGTAGTATTTTTTAGTATGGTAATTTTACTATTATAATGTATGTCAAATAACAATGCTATTTAATCTTGTTGTATAATATTTAAGATTCACTAGATCATAATAGATATTTTTAGGGAAAGGGTTAATTTGTATGTTTGAAGGTTAACTAACCAGTACTACTGCTTCCAGATTGGAGGAAAAATTGTTTGGATTTTTACCATGTAAAGAGGTAAAAATGTAATTAAAATATTGATTTTAACTGCTGAATTCATTTTTCTAAGCAGGTGATGAAAAAAATAATATTTAGTTATAACCATTGCCTCTTGACTTATTTTCAATTTTAGGATTACTTTGATATAGTAAAAAGGCCCATGGACTTATCTAGTATAAAAAGAAAACTTGACACTGGACAGTATCAAGATCCTTGGCAATATGTGGAAGATGTGTGGTTGATGTTTGATAATGCATGGCTGTACAATAGAAAAACTTCTCGAGTCTATCGATATTGTACTAAGGTAAGTGTTTGTTTTAGTTTTATGTTCAGGCTATGATTGAAAAAAGTATCAAAACATTTAATAAATTGTAGGATACCTAAAGAAATTCAGATATAGCATTAATCATGGTACATATATAATAGACTACATTAAATTTGGTATCTTATGAAATCTAATTATATATACGCAATTACAGACGCATACACACACACACCATGGGTCAGATTTCGTGCTGGAAATCTTAAGACCTATTTAGAATGGTTTGCAGTATCCTAGGAATTTGCAGTATTATTATTTAGAATCCAGTAACTTATACATTAATGTTTTCCTATAAATGATTTTAATGCTTTCAAGATATCATGCTATAAAATATGGATATACAGTGGTAAGAATTAAGTTAAATTTTTCCTCACAAAAATGAAGGAATCCTCAGAAACCATTCTATGATCCACTATGCCAAAGCTAAAAAAATTTTTCTAATGCTTGAAAATATTTGAAAAATCATGCCTCTGGTATGAAAGTCTTGAAAAAAATGTGGAATTTTATTTTACTACTATCATAAAAGTATGGAAAGCAGGAAAGTTTTCAAAATAGATCTCAAAACTGGGTCAGTTCAAATGACAAACAGAAGCATTGTTTGTGAACAAAATTAATAATCATGCAGGAAAATCTTTGATCGCCCAGAAATCTTTGAAGCAGCAAATCTCCCTAATTCTCAATGTCGTGCACAAATTCATAACTGAACACGAATCACATATAAAAATAATAACTCCATGAAGAATATCATACCTGCATGCACAAAAAAATAGGTAGTTGTTATGTAAGAGAAGTATTCAAGTACTCATTCATAAATATTAATAGCCAAAGATGTGTGTAAAATTGAATTGTGTAGTGTGCTAATTTTAGATAACTTATTTTATTTATAATCAAAAGATGTCTACTTAATTATGCAATACCTGCCACATATTTTGCAACAGTGTATTAACAATATGCATAAAAGCAGCATCAACTTAGAATTACTGCTTCTAACAACTGTTTGTAACCAATATTGACCCCAAATTTTCATGTAAAGAGTAGCTATACGTCCAGAACCTTATAAATAATATAAATTGTTTTTAATTTAATTTGGTTCGTCTAATAATGTAACAACCGTGATTTTTGTACATAGCTATGTTGACAACCTAGATTTGATCTCCATCTTGTCATTTACTGTATTGTAATAGGTCCAATAGTGTTGCCACTGTTTCATTTAAACAAATACTTCATGGCAAAGCATCCTGACAGTTTCTTTGCCAGCAATTTAATAGTTTCTGTGAAATCATCTAGATTGAATTGTAGTCAAAATGAAGCTATATAGTGCTGCTCTGTGGACTTATAGTAATTAATATTACAAAGATGTATTTCAGAAACTTTTGGTATTCCTGTGATTTATAGTTTTTGCTAATACAGCAATATCTGCTTTGTAGTCACTAGGGGGTACAGTTTACTCTCATATGCAAAAAAGTAAGGGGAAACATTGTCACATGCGTCAAGAATACATACATTCTATCTATAATGTGCTGCCTACTTGGATGTAAGTATCAAAAAACTGTTAAATCCACTAGAACAAAAGTCTGAAAAACTGAATGGAAGTTTGGGAAAAGTCTTTAATTTTGATGTTGAAAAAATTGTATGAACCCCATACCTTGAATTTAGAATTATTCAAAACTTGCTTAATGGCATTATTAACAATTGAAGATTTCATCTCCAACTAGCTTTTTTTTTCATTCAACTTATCAATGCAGACATTTTTTCTACCTGACTCGTGCCAGGTAGTAGAAGCAAACATGAGAGGATATACCTATTGTAACAGAATGTAACTACTTGTGGCATTAAAAAGATTAGATGGAATAGGATTTGATCAGTGACACACTAAATATTACAAAAAAATAGCTTTTGTGGAGACGGATGCTATTAGCTTTCATCGATAATTCAGAATCAACTGTCTCTGGCTTGGATGTTTAACCCATATGTGCATAAGATGCTATTCAAGTTGAAAATTCCAATTCCATTGTTTTGAAAGCTTTTGTAAAAATCCATTACCAACAGGCCTGTATAATATGCTGAAAACATGCTAAAAAAATAAAAAAGGTCCAAAGATAATATAAACAGGTAATGTGGAATACATTAAGAAAACAAATTGGCATATACATAAAGATGTATTTACAAAAATATATGTAATACACAAATAGTAAGTAATATATATTTACATCTAATAAACATTCTCACTTTTGTTATCCCTGGCCATTATTTTCAGTTCACTTCACAGCCTTCTGAGAAGTATGTATTACAAGACTGTTCAGCCCCAGTTGGGACAGAAATATATTAATAGCCATTGTTTTTGTGAGACAAAATCATATGCTCCTGATTTCTAGTCTGTTTTGTAATATCAACATATAGAGAGAGAATGTGGTCTGAGGAAATCAGTGACCAGAACTTGTGAATTTTATAAATATAACCTTAGCCTGTGATAACCTAGTTTTCATATATTCTTGATATTTTAGCAATTTTATGTGTGCTGTGTTATACAAAACTTGCCTTTAGATGGCAAAAATATTTTATTACATATGAAATTGAATTACTAGGACTCTGATGGCAAACTTTATGCTCACATTATGTGTGCAAGCATGTGTTGTTTTCAAATAGCCATGCAAAGTTGCTAATTCAAATACATTGTAACATAAACATTTTCACTGAATGTTTCAGAAAACTTAGTATAAAAAAAATCAATATAATAAGTGTATTTTTAAAAGTTAAAAAAGGTGAGAAACTTCAGGAGAAAGTTGTCCAAAAACTGACTAAAGAAACATGCAATTCAAAAACCCTAATGCACTTATAAATATAACCTAAAAGAAATTATATCTAAGGCTCAAGAATGCCAACATGTATATTCCTTTGGGGCAGTAGTTTCAAAATATTGGAGTTTAATACATAATTGTTTTATTCTGGACATTCCTTGTTTCAAACTTTACTTGTAGTAGTTAGTTACACTTTCATAGATTGTAAGCACAAAATGAATTTTATTTTGTTTTTCCAGTGGCAGGTTTTTTGTTTAAGTATTTTTTCAGCTATGAATTTTTGGTTTGATCAGTTTTAAAAAATGATAACTTGTCTGCATGAAATCAATTATAATTATTCTGTAATAATTGTAATATCCGATTCAGTTGTATCTGGTTTTTTCAATATTTTTTTTTGCTGTCCCAGGTGTTTCTCTACATATATTTGTAATCTATAACTTAGTAAAAGATTGTGTTAAAAATGTTTTTGTCATTTTGGCTTGGGGCTTGGCCTAATGGTTAGCACACTGAACTGTCAATCAGAAGGTTTAATGTTTGTACTGTGATATGCTGTTGGACACACTTGTGCACTATAGTTGCATTATAAGAATTAGAACTATGTCATATTAGGCTGTGGGTGCTGTTCACTTATTGCTTTCCCTCTACCCTCAAAGAGAATTCCTGTACTTGGTGAGGGGACCTCCCATGAAAGGTTCTGTTTCTTCAGTTTACCTCCTCTGGTATCCAAACATCCACCCAACTGTGAAGGGAAGAAGAGGATCTTGGTGGTTGAGGGTGTCATCCTGATGGGTGACTTATATCGGGGGCAACACGACACATCACTTTAGCCTTGAATTCCTGTAAACGGGTGGCTCCCCCAATGTCAGTTGGCTGGTCCTGTTGGGCTAGGGTCAACTAAGTATCAGTGATGTGTAAATTGTGTCTGATGCTAGTGTATGGGTATAGTGCATCCTCTTGTAGGGCTCCATGATGGGTGGAGTCAGTGGGCACTGAATTTTCTCCATTTTAATGGATCCTGCACCCAGTAAACCCCCCCCCCCATCAATAAAAAATCCACATTGACAGGAAAGCAACCATGTTTAGAAGACCGATTAGCAGTCACCACCCCATTCTATTCCTGTACCTCATTTTTTCATTCTTTGTCTGACAAACCTTTAAAGTAAATGTCTCCTTTTTTCATTCAGAAGAAATTACAGGGGCTTGCTGGCTTTCCAAAATCAGTTAAGAAGACATCTTGGTGGAAACATCTACACCACAACACAGTATATGTTTGTATGCATATCTCTTTTAGTCTTTGTGATTGCTGTCCTTCTTACTTTTTTGACACAGCTACAATATCAGTCTTTTTCTCTTTTTCTTCTAATTTCTTTCTCACTTTTTTTGACATAGCTACAAATATCATTGTCATTCTCCATTTTGTTGTTATAATTTTTGTCATTGTTTAGATAGTTGTGTTCATAGTTGCTTAACCAGTGAGATTGTATTTTGAATTTTTGTCTTTAAGTATGGCACTCACTTGGTCAAATTGGAGCATTGTAGCAGTTTGTAATTTGTACAGTTCTAGCACTTTTTGGCATAAATTTAAGTAAGCAAGGTGACTTTTTTTATATATATATATATATATATATGTGTGTGGGGGGTGTGGGAGTATGCTGAAAGTATGCTTGGTTTTACTCATTCCCAGTCACTAGAGTTTGTGGTTGTTTCTTACAATCTAGTAATTCTTTTCTTTACTCATGATTACCAAATGCATTGGGTTTTCTGTAAGTATAACATAGTCAGCTGTTGCTTTACATTGGTAGACCTTTATTTTTTATGGTTTGAGGGTATTTTGAACTGATATATTCAGTACCCTGAAACTAGTTATGTCAGTGCTTGTGTAATACAGTGTTATGGAAAAGCAGATGTATAACTTGCTTGCTTGATATTATATGTTGATTTGTAAACATGTTTTGTACCTCATACAACAAACCTGTAAGTATCCAGCAATAAAACTTCATTTTTGTTTTCACTAATACTTGTTGATATTCTTCTTGGGATCCTTTTTTATCTTTGATATCTTATAGACTTTTACCTCTTAATGAAACACTTTTCGTGTTGCATTGGTATATGTATTGAAGTTAATCACATATTTTTCTTACAATTTCTGACTATGCATATACTTTTCACTCCAGTGATCACTTTTCCAAGGTTTATACTTACCTTTCAAGCAGAGAACTAAAGATAATACTCCTGAAGTTGTTGGTTTTCCCTGGTGTTTTAAGTAATAACATTACATCCAGATTTGATTTTCGAATATATATATGTTTATATTTACATTAAGTCAGATGGACACAGAACATTTTTTCCATCCAAAAAGAATTTTAATTTGAGCCATACTATTCCAAATTAATTCGGTGATATGCACTGTTGATAGCTATTAGATATCCTTGAGATATTTTTTTATCATTTAGCATCCTAATGTGCAGCAAAATGGCTAACTCTAGATATCAAGCTCTATTGTATTTTTCTTCTGAATAACAGGTAGTCATATATTAATAATTAGTATACTTGAGACTGTTATTGTAACGTCTCACCTTTCACTGCCAATATTTTCACAAAATGGTACCATTGTTTTGTTGACAGGATTATTTATGAATGCTGTAGCTCTACACATGACTTTGTACTGAACACTGTTGCTATAGAGCTATAAAGATCTTTTGGTGGGTTGACAGATATTTTCTTCTCTAAGTTATTCTCAAGAAGTCCATCATTGAATAGAAAAAACTGACACAGTTAACTTTTTCAAGTAGTGTCCTCTCTGTATATTAAACTTTGTGGTGTACATGCATCTTAAATACTTTCTGACTTCAATTTAAAAACTGACAGATGAAAAATACTTGGAAAGTGGAAGTTGTGTAGGATTCATTACATGATAGAACATTATCTAAGTGAAGGTGTTTAGCCAGTCAAGCATATATATATATAATGGAAATATCATTAAATTTTCAATTTTATATTTGCTTTATTATACAATGTACAGAAGTTTTAGAATAAAATTATATGTAAATTGTTCTTTGTATATTTAAATGAAAGCAGAATTTAGATATTATTAATTAACTTCAATTTTAAAAAAATGTATTTCCAAACAGCTAGCAGAGGTGTTTGAACAAGAGATAGATCCAGTTATGCAGTCACTTGGATATTGCTGTGGTAGAAAATTTGTTTTTCACCCACAAGTGCTTTGTTGTTATGGAAAACAACTTTGTACAATACCTAGAGATGTGAAATATTGGAGCTTTCAGAACAGGTTAGAAATTTTGACACCATGTTAAAGTATTTCTTTCTTTCTTTTTCTTCTTTGCTGTGCATAATCATTACCATCAATGATTTATGTTTTCTACTGATAAAGTGCTTATAATTCTGTATTTGTAAACAATATTGATATAAAAAACATGTGACAAACATGAGAGCTTGAAATGAAATTATTTTAAAAATTTTATGCTCAAAAAGAAAGATGTGAATTAATAGAAAAAGTGCTAGACTATTCACTGATGTAAAAATACTAGTTTTCAACTCAGGTTTAAGATATATCTGATTTATTCAATTTATGTGAAAAAAAATGTGGTTATTAACTAGTGTCAAAATGCCATATGAGTGGCTTTATACTTATTGACATTCAATGCAATTTTACCCATAAACCTTTCTTATTTTCTATTCTTGAAAATCTAAATTGTTTTGGCAATGATATATGTAGATTTTTGTGTGTGTGGAACATGAATTTTCCAGTAATTTTAAGTCTTATTTAAGTCCAGATATTCTTTTAAAGAAATAGAAAGGGGTAAGGATATTAAATGTTCAGTAACTTCTTATTTATACTGACAAAAAACACTCTAATCTTATATATTTTGTTAGCATATAATATATATATATATATATATATATATAATGTATATGTTTGTTGTAATGAATTTTAGTTGTGGAGAACAGGAATGTATTTGTTATTTTTAGTTCTGTAAAATGTCTTGTAAGATTAAACTGTTATTTTGTTTTCTACTCAACATCTGCTTCCAAGGTTGTGGCTTATGTATGTGCACTGATGGAACTTAAGAACTGTCATGTTAACCAATGGAACTTGAGTTTGTATAGGCTAAAATCTCCTTATTGTATGTTTGATGTACTATATGTACTAGAATGCACATAAAATTAGGTTAAATATATGTGACAAGTAATAATTGCAAATTCGAAAAAATCGGTTCAATCTCTTTAGATATCTAAAGGGTGATCACTTTAGTGCCTGTCATTGTTATTTAAATTTCATATATAATACATTCCAATTTTCACCATAGGAAATGCAAAAAATTAATTACAAATTTAGTAATTAACATTATATTCAATAATTACATTCTGTATGATTAGTTTGTTTCCATGGCTTTCAAATTGCATTCAGAACATAATAGTTGATTATATAAAATTGATTTCTAGCAAAAAGAGAATGAACTTCTCACTATTTTTGCCATAGTATTCATTCAGTAAGCAGTACAAATGCAATGCACATATCGAGTGCTTATTACCATTATTGTTAGTACATATTATACATACTTCATGACAGCAGGAATATGTTACTTGTATTCATAAAAAATCAACAATACATTATATGCTCAATTTTGTAATATTGTTTCTATTTTAGTTGTATTAAATAAATTTAACCAGCAGAAAGCACTCATATCATATGAAGAAGATTATTGATACTGTATACAGTATTTCTCTAGAGGAATTAAGTTTTATGGAAGTGTCTCTGTTTAAAGTAAATGTACATTATATGTATTAGGCCTACTGTTATTTATAGACAAGTTGCTGTAGATGATGCCTGAGTTCACCCGGTGGCCAGTCATAAGTTTACAGACTTACAACCCTAAAAGTCTGGGGTTCGATTTCCTGTGATGGACAGAAGGCATGTAACCAACAGTGTAGCCTTACATTAAGAATACAACAACTAATACACAAACATTTTAGTATAACATATCTTTCAAAATCAACAAAGTTGTGTACACTTAGTTTATTTCTGAAATACATCTTCAGAGGTAGCAGCGAGTAGTAATTGAATGTATAGTGTATTTAGAATGTACTTTCATAAGAACAAATAGCTGAATGTGACTCAATGTTTGGCAAACTACTCTATGGATCTGTCCATCGTTTACATCTTATTACCTCCTCTCAAAACAATAGTGCTCCTAGGTGTGTTATAAGAGTGATGGGCAATTCCCATTAATTGGTCAGGCAAGAGTAGCACAAGATTTGGCATTTGGTGTTGTTGACTAGTTGCCTTCCTCTATTCCAGTGATTCTGAACGTGGGGAGCACGTCCCACAGGGGGGCAATTTGAAAATACTACAATAAGAAAAATTTTTCATTTGGGTGTGAAGAGCGAAAAACATTCCGTGACTCAAAACTGAGTCGTCTGACACGGTTTTTATATTTCTCATTCATTTGTCATTTGTCATTCAAGGATCTCACTAACTTGAGATTACCAAACTTGAAGGTGAGAAAAATTTTAATTTGTTCTATTTTTACCTAATATTGTGAATTTAAAGCAGTATTATTAATTAAACTCCTATTTTTTTGGTACATTTCTAAATTTTACATTATATTATTATACCTTTTCAACACCAACGTTGTTTCTATATTAAGGGGGCATCAAATTTTTTGAGGTGTCGAGGTGGGGCATGGAGCAAAAAAGGTTAAGAACCACTGCTCTAGTCTATCAGTTCATAATTAGGAATGCTTAGCACAGATAGCCCTTAAGTAGCTTTGTGTGAGTATCCTAAAACAAACATAATAAAAATGATTATTAGATGAACTTATTTTTCATTTTAGTTTTAGTTTTTCAGGAAATTATCTTCTAAATAGTTAAAAAGACTAGTTTTAGAGCTTTGACATATGACAGTTTAATTAGGCTAATGTGTCATCTTTTCCTATAGGATGGTAATGATTCTCACAGGAATGTGTAATTTATAGTAAATGCTACATTCCCTAAAGAAGCATTAACTTGAGTGCTGTACTTTCCATTCTTTTCATCTTACATATTGTAAAATATTGTTGTATGATTAATTAATCCATCATATGTGACAGAACATAAAACAACATATTTATGTACATTTCACCAAGTTTTCAATATTCATGCATAATGCCAATAAGTGTAATAGGTTATAATATAAATCAAGCTAATACATTGTATTATTAACATTACATATACATCAAAGTAAAGACTACGTATTGTCACTTCTAATAAAGTTATTTTTCTAAGTACTATATAATCACTTTAGTGTTAAGACAAAGTAGTGATAAAAAAACTAGTATAATTTATTCTTAAACGTTAGTCTTAACAGTAACAGTATTGACAATAGGCTACTGCAATTGGTGTTGGCCATTTATTTCCAGGTTATAAGTATAAATACAATGGTTAAGACTAATGTAGGAATTAAGCATTCACAGTTTGTTAGGTGCAATGGGTGGGTTTTATATGGGAGATCAAGACTGTTATGTACTTTTAACCCTTTCAAGACGGGTCAGAGGTGAAAGGCCCTGTCATCTCATTTGTTGACTTGCATTCAAAATTTTATTGAACTACTATTTCATGAATTTATGTCAATAAGTTTGGTATCAAACTGTAGATTATAATTCAAATTTTAGTATTATACAATACTCAATTTCTTAATTTAAGAGTAAATATAAAAAAACAAAACAGATAAACATCGAATTTTTGTGTCACTTGGTATATTGAATGCAGCACTGGTTCAAATTAGATGCTTGTGAAGTAAAAATACTAAGTCTATAGTTTTGTACAAATAAGAAACTCAAATTACAGATATTGACAAGCTAGAATATAAAATAAGAAGATTGAATCCATTTGGGTTTCTAATAAATGGGTATAAAGGGAAAAAGCTTTTAGTGGGAATTTGTTACAGACCTTCAGATGATACTGATGAAGTTAATGAGGAACTTAACAATGAGATAAACATTTCAGCTATTAATGAAGTCATAATTATACATGATTTTAATATCAGGCATATACGTTGGGAAATACTAGAGTCAGACCATGAGGGAGAAAAGTTTTTGGAAACTGTTCAAGATGGCTTTATTCACCAATTAGTCAAGGAACCTACTAGAAACAATGCTATTTTAGATTTATTGTTAATTTCAAACACAGAAATGATTGAGAGGGTGTAAATTGGTGAATATCTGGGTGCAAGTGATCATTGGTCTGTTAGGTTCAGTGTTTTTCTGCATATGGAGATAAGGACATTTTTTAAATATAAATTTTCAAATATTCAAGGTAAATATATTCCTTATAGAAAGAAAAGGGTAGCTACAAGTAAAAAACCAGGTTGGCTCACAAAGACTATAAGAGAAAATTAAAGAAAAGCATAAGAAATTTAAATTGACTGGTATGATGGGAGATTTAGAAGATTATAGAAGATCAAGAAATTTCGTGAGACAGGAAATTAGGACATCAAAAAGGATGTATGAAAAAAGGTTAGCTGAAAATGTAAAAATTAATACTAAGGATTTTAAGTTAAGGGTAAACGAAAGGTAAGATGGAGGTAAGACCCTTGAGGCATTATAAATGAAGGCACATATCTGATGATTATAAGATGGGTGGGTTATTAGATTTTGATTTTTCTTCAGTTTTTACTACAAAGATTTAAGCAGTATTCCACATTTTGATAGATGGAAACCAGATCGAACAAGATGAATGTATTAATTCTGAGCTTGTTAAGAAAAATAATTGGGAAGTTTAAAGAATAATAAGGCATTTGGGCTAGATAATATTTCCCCAAGGGTTTTGAAGGAGGTTAAGGATTGGATATGTGAGCCACTTGCTACTATTTTTTGTAAGTTCTTGAATAGTGTTCAGGCACCAGAGGATTGGAAGTTAGCAAAAGTCACTTCTCTTTTCATGGAAGATGATAAAAATTGTCCCAGTAATTATAGGCCCAGAAGTCTTATATCAGTTGTGGGAAAAGCTTTGGAAAGTCTGGTAAAAGATGCTTTACAAAGCCATTTAACAAAGTTTATAATTTTATTGATAGTCAACATGGTTTCACTAAGGGAAAATCCTACAAATCTTTTAACACTCTTTGAAAAGGTTACTGCTTATGTAGATGAGGGTAAGGGTGTAGATTTGGTGTATCTGCATTTTAAGAAAACATTTGACAAGGTGCAACATAAAAGGCTTGTAAAAAAATTACTCTATAGGTGGGGGGGGGGAGATAAGTTAGCA